CACATGAAGTCTCACCTCTTTAATGGTGAATCGTGTTTTGTCTGCCACGATGGTATTGGTGCCATTGGCCCAGGAGAATCTGATGAATGAGCCCTTGGCAGAGCAAGTGAGAACCACAGTGCTGTTAAACTCTACTGTCTCAGACATGTCAGTCCTGATGGTCTATTTTAAGACCAGCTCTGCAGATAGAAACAAGGTAACTTGACTGGTGAGGTGGGGCTGAATGGTTCACTGCATGACACCAACATTTCCAAGGTTAGTGACTCCTCTTCTATACATAAACTCATTTTTGCTGTACTAAAACTGTATCATACCTTGTGGTGTAACTATTGGTTTACAGTAAAAAATAATAAGGAGGTCAGAACACACCCTTGTGAGAACCAGTGCAAGCTGCTTGTGTAATGACAAGACTAGACAAGCCTTGTTCAGCCGGGCGATGAACAGAGGCTGTGGGGAACAACATCAGATACAGAAACTTTTGACACATGACCTCCTGTGTATAATTGCTAATTGCCCTTCTTTATATGTAGGCTCCAAAAGATATTCCCTAAATATTTAAAGTGAACGTCAAAAGGGCAACATAGGACATGTTCCAAGGGTAATGTGGCGTGAAATGTGCATGTGCCAGATTTATAGATGCATTACAGATAGTTGAGTTGTACCTTTATAGAACTACAGATTCTTAATGATTCTTTCTTTTTAAGAAACCCTGGATCAGGATCCAGAACCAATAGCTAATTTGTTGTTGCAGGACTCCATCAACATCTTGATAACTAATAGTCAAACAGGTCTGAGAGTGAACAGTCAGGCTAGCAGCGCAGTGGTGCGTTGAAGTAAATGTTAGCGTTAGCATGCCATCAGTTTGTTATGTAGATAATGTTTACCATGTTCATCATCTCAGTTGAGAGTGTTAGTAAAGTGAAGGGAAAACCAAAGTCATTAGGATTCATCATCTGGGAACCATGAATGTCTGTACAAAATCTTTCATCAATCCATCCAGTAGATGTTGAGATATTCACTGGAAAAGTGAAAACTTTGACCTCCTGGTGGCACTAGAGAAAAGATCAGGGGGCCACCAAAGCTAATAGGATTCATCCTCTACATACCATGTATGCTGCATCAAATTTTATGGGCAACCCATCCAACAGTATTGAGATATTTCAGTCTGCACCAAGGCAGTGACCAACTGACTGAAATCGCCATCCCTAGAGTCCTGCAGCTAGCACAACTGACAACGAGACTGAATACACAGCCTCCCAGGTGGAGGTAAAACACAACAGCTCACCCAAGAAGTCTGAGATTGGTCTCTCCAGTCTTCACCCTTTTGGCGGTAAAGATGTTGACATAATAATTCCCGTTGTCCTTTGCCGCCAGAGACCCCAGTGTCGAGAACCCGCTGGTTTGGCTCGCCATCACTCTACCCTGGTAACCCTCGAACACAATGCTCTCACATTCTCTGTTCCCAGTGACGACGCAAATGAGCTCAGTCCCGTTATTGAAAAACCAGGCTATGGCATCAAACTCCTCTTTGGGATCAATCAGGGTTTTGAAAGTTACATTTTTCCCCGAGACTGCAGCCACTGGACCTTCAGTCAGTGCGTACCATTCAAAGCATCCTAAAATAAAGAACACCGGCTTTCAGGTTTTGGAAAATGAGTCAAATTCTACTCTGTACTGGTCTGTTATTAATTGACTCTCACTGATTGATTTGGGTCCCATATTTACTTTCCTTCTAAGCTCTGGTTTGGTTTCCATCTCCTGCTTAGCTGCTAGATGCTCTACTATGTTCACCAGCAAGTGACTAATTTATCTTTTCAGAAATAACCATGGTAGCATAATAATACCCCCTGTCCTTTGCCTCTATTCAAGAAACCATTGGTCCGGTTTACCAGCATTCGCCCCAGGTAACCTTCAGCCACTGTCTCCCCTGTTGGCGTCACAGTGACAATGGGTACAAGCTCACTCCTGCGGTTGAAAGACCAGACAAGGGTGATAAAGTCATCCTTGAGCTCAACCAGGGTTTGGAAAGTGATTTTTTTTCTCAGAGCTTCCTCCACTGGAGCCTCCAGCAGAATATCCTGTGGAGCATCCTGAAAGAAAGAACAGGGTCTGAGGGGAAAATTATTTTTGCTGATGGTGTCTCTAATGGCATCTGGAGGTTTCAGTCTTGATTCCAGGCTTACACAGAACCAAAAGTGAAATAATAATCTGATAAGAACATTGGATATGTGCCAGCAAAACCGAAACTAACTGACAACTATTTTCTTGTGACTTTAAATTCTTTTCTAATTCCCACAAAATATATAATTCACTTCATTATCAGTAAACAAATTACAGAGACCAGCAAAAGAAGAAACAAAACTTTACATAAAGCAGCTGTACAATTGAAAAGTGAGTGAATAAAAGTGTTATTTTTTACCAATAATGTAGATCAGACACAGAATAGACTTCATCATGAGCAGATCCACTGTGGACAACTTGTACCTTTCACCACAACCCTCTTCTTTTAGCAAGACACACCCAGGAAAGGTGAGCACACACACAAAGACATACTCACAGACACACATGCTTAATATAGCCTAAAAATATTCCATGTATAACACTTGATCTCACTTGATCTCATTTATTATCATTTATTGTCGTTCAGTTCACAACGCCCAACATGGGTGTGTTTTGGTGAAAGAAGATCCTGGGAACATTTCAAGTGGCGATGGTGATAAAAAAAAATAAATAAAAAAACAAGGAAATAAAGGTGAATAAGAGTGAAGTCCAAAAGCTGACGTTTCCTGCATGGAGTTTGGTTTGACTTTGACTAAAGACTTTTGACTGAATGGCTCATCCTGCTGTTCATGCATGATGAATTTAAATGGGGTTTTCTCTCATAATGGAGTGTAAACAACTACACAAGAAGAGTTGTATCCAAATCCATATGGTATATTCATGAGAGAGATCCTGTAAAATCTCAAAAAAAGTCAGTCCACATACTGTTGTCTCACAATACACTGCCTCGAAACTGAGGCTGTCCTCACATCAGCAAAATATAGAATAAATTGCAGGTTGTAATGAGACATGTCTCTAAATATCTTGAAAAACAAGTAAGTATAAAATGTTCTTTGCAACATTTGGTTGGTATAGTTAAGCTCTAAAGTCACAGTTTGATTGACATGTGAAGTTATTGCATCACATCACAAAAACTGTGCACTTGAAATGTGCACAATATATTTATTGCTTTATTGTGTGTGTAAATCTGTATGTGTGTATGTGTGTATGTATGTTTATGTTTGTGTGTATACATATGTATGTATGTGTGTAGCCTATATGTATGTGTGTGTGTGTGTGTGTGTATGTATGTGTGTCTGTGTGTGTGTCTGTGTGTGTGTGTGTGTGTGTGTGTGTGTGTGTGTGTGTGTGTGTGTGTGTGTGTCTGTGTGTGTGTGTGCATTATTTTATTATTTTTTTAAAAGCATATGTTGATTTTCCTCGTTCATGTTTCAGTTCCTGTGATATTTAGAGTAATATATATAATAATAAAGCAGCAGTTGTTTCTCATTAAAAGATTATTAACATATTACTTTCACAGCTCCTCTTCATCTTCATCAGTGCTCTTATTGTCACTGATTCTTTTTTATCTTTCACATCCACCCTTAAAAACAACATCCATTGTACATCCTGATCCAGATCCTGATCTCACTCCTCATCCTCAACTTTGGTTCTCTTCATCATCATCACTTTCATTTTCATCCACCTTCATCCTTCTCAACAGTCACATTATTTTGACCCTCATCTTCACTCTTATCCATTCAGTTTAGGGTTAATGGTTGTTTCTTAAAATTGTAAATTTAAATCACACAATTAATAATTTGAATATTTAACTATGTATTAAAGACGTGGATTTTCAAAAACAGATCAAATCAAGCAACCATTTATCACAACAGTGTATCACAACACAAGCATTTTCATTTCCATCCTCAGTCAAACTGATCCAAATTAATTTTCATTTATTCTTTATTCATTGAAAATTCATGTGATCATGAATTGATCATCAGGAGAGAATGAATTGTTTGAACAAGCCCTGACACAGACGGAAAATCCAACAACATATATTTGACTTACAAATACCACGACCTCTTACACATGTTCCCGCAAATCACACAGAATGGGGTTTACTGTCAACAATTGTTGAAAAATAATTAAATAAATAAATGAGCTACATCAAGCTCGACACAACAACACCGGAAAACATCCGAATTTACCTTCAAAATAATAGCCCTAAATGGAGCAGTAAAGCTTATATATAGCTTATATTTGTTGTGTAGGTCCATCTAAAATAATTGTGGGAAACAATATATGTAAATATATATGTGTCAATATTTCATCGCATCACTTTGTGCTCAAGGATATTATGATGAGCATTTTTCACTGGTGTTTTATAGACCAAATGATTGATCAATTAACAGACAGATATTTAGCAGATTAAAACAAAGCTCAGTATTTCATACTAGCCTACATATTCTGAAGGGCATGATAACAAAAAATGGATTTTCTTGTATTTTCTTGTACATAAAGGCTTATGTGGTAGTTCCTTTACTATTATTATTATTATTATTATTATTATTATTATTATTATTATTATTATCATTATTGTTATTATTCTGTTTTGTACTGTTCCTGTTTTATGTTATATTGTAACTGCATTTTTCTAGACAAAACAAAACAAAAAAAATTAAATGCAATATTTGCGTAACTGTCTAAAGTTGTTCATGGCCTAAAGCGTCATAGGCATCCATCCATTTGTACATCCTTTATTTTGTTTATAGCACCTCAAAATAGTGGAATATTTTTGTTGTTAATATCAATATTAATATTATTATTAGGCTATGTGTCTTCTCTGTTGATTATTATTATTAGGCTACATGATTAAATTAACAACCGCTTCTTGTTAGGGCTTTTATTTTGAAACTGCACCTTATTCAGTCTGTGGCGCTTGGCCGCAGCGCTGGGGCGTCAGAGACAGTTTATAAACAGCAGAGACTGAGCAGGGGGAGCAGTGATCCAGGGCCTGGCCGAAACTTTGTTGTCCACTCTTACGCTTCACTGCAACTTTATCAACTTTATTAACCGTCGCATTTTCCTTCCCGCGCTGACATGACGGCCACGGGGAGCTCTCCGGCCTTCGACGGGATCTACTCCCAGCTGATAGAGGACGAGGGCACTTACGACGAGCTCCACCGCAAGACAGATGTGAAACACAGCGGTAAGGACTCTTCACCACAGAGTAGCTGCAGCTGTGACAGCTGATTAAAACCACCTGTTGGTTTTCTCCCAGTTTATATTTGAGTTCATGATGAGCTTCTCTCTCTCACTCTCTCTCTCTCTCTCTCTCTCTCTCTCTCTCTCTCTCTCTCTTCTTCATTAACTTTCTCTTTTCATGCTGAAGACACAATCTGAGACTTAACTCACTTCACAAATCAAAACAAAGCACTGTGCACGGCTGCATTATGTAACCTAATAAGATTTAACACTGTTTAGATATAGTGCCAACTCTGACATCATTTTCTAGTTTAGAATAATTAGGGCTGTAATTAATGACGTTTAATTATGGAGTCATTGTTTACTATGATAAGAATTAATAGGATTAGGAAACAGATCATTAATCTTATACATCTTTTTATCAACGAATCATTAGTTTTCTTATATTTTATAGACCAAAGAAAAATCACTGTTTCCTCAAATTCAAGATGGCAAAGATATTAATATAACAAAAGCAGTACACCTTCACAGATACATCAAACCAGAACAGACAGTCACAACAAAATACTTATAAGACAGATTTAAAAAATGGTGGTGTAGTTTCTTAAAAATATGAAAATACAGAAAAATGCCCATCACAGCTTCCCAAAGTTCAAGGGGGCGTCTTCACACATCCTGTCTGAGCAACTGTCCAAAGTCCAAAGATGTTGCAGTTACAGTGTTATAAAGCAGATAATCGATTTGCTCCAGTAGAGTTCATATCCATCTGTTGAGGAGCTCACAACAGACTGTCAGAACGGGAAAATCAAATGTATTACAGTCATACATGAGAACCTGCACAGAGGTGCAGGCTGCTGAGAAAAAATGTAAATGTTAGTTGTTTCCCCTCAGTATATAGAAAGTGGATAGTGAATAGAAATACAACAACATATATATTTTTCAATGTATACATTGAAGAAAGTAGTCAAAAATATCACAGTTTCTCAGGAGTGAACACAACATCTTTAAATCACTTGTATATTTTCTGACCAACAGTCCAGAACACAGTTTACTGTAGAGAAGGAAATCCTCACAACTGTAAAGTTGGAACTGGGAAAAGTTTTGTATTTTTGCTTGAAAAATGACTTAAATAATTAATTGATTATCAAATACGATTTTTTGCCACTTATTAATCAATATTAATTAATAATAATGTTTACCTTTTATTTTGAAGTTTACTTTGTAAGTAAAGTTAACGTACATTCCAAAATAAACAAAAAACAGATGTGGTGATAGGAGAATTTTGTTTTCTATGGACTAGAAAACTAGAGCTAGAGCTAAACCAATAAATGAGTCTATATTTGCTTGTGTAAATGATTAATAACAAGAATTTGCTGGACGGAAATAGCAAACTAGTTTTGAGGTAACCAGAGAGCACTATAGAGTTGATCTTTTACACCATAAAAATGTTCATAAGTCCATTCATATGGTACTGTAACTAACAGACAACAACTAATAATAATTATAAATAAATAAATCTTCCTGTCCCATCCAAACAAAATAAAGTCACTTCCCTCACTGCTGTCTGCTTTGTTAGATAATTATGGTACCTTTCAGATTTCCCACGGCCCAGAAGCTTGTCTGACATGTCTGATATTTACAAGTCTGAACAGAGCAGAGGACATTCCTTTGTGAATAAAAGGCTCCGCTTCAACAAAATGTAAATATATTATACAGAGTTAAAGACACCATGAAATAGCATTATTTCATTATTTTTTGAAAGCACATGTTGATTTTCCTCGTTCATGTTTCAGTTCCTGTGATGCGACAGCACAGATGTGATGTTAATCCCATCAAACATCATCACGTCTTTCTTTCAGCTGACTGGACAGTTTCTGTCAGCACTGACGAATCAGGGGTTGATTAAGGGCATTTGTGTTTAAAACACTTATGCATACATTAAATATATAAAAAATACTCACTAGCATTATCTTAGAAGTGAGAAAACAAGAACAGTAAAATAAATGAATGTTCCTGCCCTGTTTTTTTTTGATGCAGTAATTGATTAATCTAAAGATTATTTTTGTGATTAACCGTTTGGCCTATGAAATGTTAGAAAATAGTGAAAAATGCAAAGTGACATCTTCAAATGTCTTGCTTTATCCGAACAAAAGTCCAAAATCTGAAAATATTCTGTTTATAATGATAATAAACAGAAACAAGCAGCAATTACTCACATTTAAAGAGATGAAACGAGGGAATTTTTGAAAAAAAATGATGATTTAAATCATTATTTGATCAAAATAATCAACTTTAGTCTATAATGAGGTATGTTGCTATAATGAGGCATTTTTGTGAAGACGATTTGTGATGAAGTAGCTTGATTTGTCAGGTATTTCATATGTCTGGACTAAACAGAAAACTGAAAAGAGGCTGAAAAGGCTGAAAAGAGAAAAGAAAAGTTGGTTTATTATTTTGATAACAATCTTTCCCTCTTTACCACCTCCAGCTCACCCAGTCTCCCGAGTCATGCTGCCCTCCGGGCTGAGCGGTTCCAGGCCCTACCGCCTCGCAACCATCTGCCTGGCTACGCTGTGTGCCATCCTGCTGATCTCCATCATAGCTGTTACTGCACACTGTGAGTACACAACTGTTGAGAAATGTCTTGATGAGTGGTGTCTTACATTGTTTCACCCGTTCGACCAGAGCACACATATGTACACCATGAGCAATGGAGATGGTGTGACGCACTTTTCTGCAGAATATTAAGCAATTAATTTAGATACTCAGTGGCAGTAATGCCCCTTTAAAAGACAGAAGTGCACCAGTTACAGAGGAGAAGAAGACTGCAAGCTGATGTAAAAAAGTGCAGGTTTCAAAACTTTAAAAAAAGTCTTCACAAAAAAGTGTTGTAGAAAATATAACAAAGGCCAATAACATGTTTGTTATCTCATAACTTTGCTTACTGTACATTGTACCATGGTAAATAAAACTGTTTAGTGGCAACATTGCTTATACCTGAATACAATAATGTAATTCTAAATTGTAAAACACCTGAAACATAAAATAGAACAATATAATTATGCATTATTAAAAAAGAATCATCTGAAACATGCACTGAAATACAATAATATAATTATGTATTGTTAAAAAAAACAACTGAAACATAAAATACAATAATATAATTATAAAAACGTAGGCAGCAAGAAAATATTTGACAGATAAAGAAAAGATATTCAAAAGCCTCCTGAGCATCCTGAGCTGTTGTTCATTAGATAGGCATTCATCATCTGACGCCATCACACTCTATTTCAAAGTAAGTACAGTGTTACCCAAGACATACAGTAATCACTGGTATATGTTGTTATCAGTGCACCCTGTGAAACAGGAAAGTTCAAAACTGCCAAATGAACAAGTTTCAGGTCAGAAAAGAGGATCCTGTGGTTTGAGTCTTGCAACACAGACTTTTCTAAGGAACATTGACCAATAGTATGACTTGAGTCTTGTGTGCTCGTTATGTTGAAAAAGTCACACAATTAGGAGGCTGAAAAGCTGCTCGTTAACCTTGGCCTACACTTGCAGACATTTGCACTTAGCTCAAAGCTCTGCTGTAAGTGCAGCCTCATGGACCTGTTTGTGTGTCTTAGCCTTGTTTCAACGACGTTCTTTCAGATAAATTGTACCCATAGACTGTATATAAAAAGACTGTACCGTGTCTATTTATTTACTCGTTAATCGTTCCACGTGTTCCACAGATAAAAACAAACCTCAGGTCAGTGGCCAAGTGGTACCAGAGATACAGAAGCATACGGAAGACAAGAACGTGTCGGATCTGACCGCTACCATCAACAAACTGCAGCAGGAGAAAAACCAGCTGCAGAAGGAGAGGGATGAACTGCTGGCCAAACTGGCTGCTACTAAAGGTACACAACTTCATATTTGAATATGGATGTCTGCTCGTTCTCACAGAGTCCTACTGTGACTGTCGCAGATTTAGATCTGTGAAATACAGATATTGGATCATTTGCTTTTTTCTTTTAAACAATGAAATTATGGCCATATTTAGCCAAGGCTGGATAACTAACCAGGCAAAGCAGTTAACTAACCAGGGTCCCCAGACCCCCGAGGGCCCCAAAAGCCCCAGGTTTAATCCGGTTTACATAATTTAGTTCCTCTGTTGTAAAGATATGTCTCAAATTGATTAATTTTTTTCTTTGTCAAGTATTTAATTCACCGAAAACCTTGGGCCAGGTGAGATTATGCGTCACATGAGAACTGTAAAGCTGCAACCAACCATCATTTTCATTATCAGCAGGTTAATTCATTCATCTTCATTAACTGATTGATTGCTTTGTCTATAAAATGGGTCAATAGGGGCCCAATAACAATTTTTTACCCCAGGGCCTCCTAGGAAAGTAATTGAAAATTTACCTTGGATTTTCTGATCTCATTTATGGAAACACAGATTTTCTGTATGTTCTTTTAAAAAGTCCATACAGTGGAATTAAGTTTTATGATATCTCTACCAGTCAGTATTTTATTATACTACAATAATTTAAAAGTTTAAACATTAAATTACTGCCCAGCCATAGTTTGGGGTGTGCAGAACTTTTTGTCAATTAGAATCCTTTTTCTCACCAGTCTCTGTTTGCGTGTGCGTGTGCGTGTGTGTGTGTGTGTGTGTGTGTGTGTGTGTGTGTGTGTGTGTGTGTGTGTGTGTGTGTGTGTGTGTTGCCTGTCATTCATCAGCTCCTCAGGTGATCAAACCGACAGAGGCCGCTATCGTCTGCCCCGTGGATTGGCAGCTCTTCAACAACAGCTGTTATTTCATCTCCAGAGTCCGAAGGGACTGGGCAGAGAGTCAGTCATACTGCCAGAGCAAAGGAGCTCACCTGGCCATCATCCACACGGCCGAGGAGCAGGTACATCATGACATGTTAATCCCAATGCTGCCATGTTCAGAGGATTGTCATTAGATTCTGTGTTGGCTGGAGTTTATTTAATCAGGAAGAGCCACTTCTATTCCTCTGTTCACTTCAGAAACATGTCAACAGCGCCAACAAAGCTTTTCAACTGGATATCTATAAACTTAAAAGTTGATACAGTGTGATCAAACACATAGCTATTTGTAAGTTTTGCTATTGCTCCATAGAGTAACATTAGCATTAGCAGCTGTTTACTTACCAGTCTAGAGGAGACGTTGCGAGTTTAGAAAGCCTCTTGTTTGGCTTCTATTTCTATCTAACGAGCTAGTCCTAGACGTTTTCATCACTTTCCGATACCGAGTCACTGTAGTGTCCAGGCTGCGCTGAATAAGGAGGGGCCCAATAACAAAACTTGTTAGTAGGATCAATTGATTGTTGATTCGTTACCAATAAGAAAAATATACTAGAATACCACTTACTTTTTTTCAAAAAACACAATCATCTTGGGCTTCGGCAGAATCAGATATCATCATCCTCTCTAGTGATAGAGCTGGGATATTAATCATCACTCTAATCACAAAGGTACAAAAACAATCAGTCATGATTGTCTTCTATGAATACACCTAAACATTTCCTTTTGTTTTTCTTTCCTCTCAGACGTTTCTATGGAATCTTCTTCCCAGAGGTCATTGGAACGCCTACTGGTTTGGGATCACAGATGCACAGACAGAGGATCAGTGGAAATGGGTGGATGGCACTCTACTGGTCGGAGGGTAGGTTCACTTCTTTCACAACCAACCATCCTCCAGCAGCACGTTAGTAAGTCTGAATCAGTCATAAAAACAGGGGATTTCAAAGGCAGAGAATTTGGTCCCATTGTAGCTAAAGTGAAGAATCTGGGTTTAATAGTACTACTAAAAATACTACTAAATACTAAAAGCCTTTTGTATGTTTTCGTGAACTGCAGCCTGGCCTTTGTTTTTGAGGTTTACAGGGGTTTGGATCTCGTAGTGAATCCTCTAAAGTTCTGATCATGAAGTCTTCTCATTAACAAGGAAACATGTCTGCCTAAATCCTGGAGAGCATTCTTGTTTTGTTGTGCAGTCATGAAGGTTTTTTTTTTTTTTTTTTACGCCAGACAAAGGATTTTCTAGTTTTCCTGTACAAACCTGCTTTTTCAGAAAGTACCCGACTGTTCACTGACCTTAAAAGTTGATACAGTGAATTATTTATTAGTATTAGTTATAGTATTAGTTTATTTAGTATTATTTGTAAATAATGTTCTGTTTGTCAAAACAAAAAAGGCATTGAACATTAAAGGAGCTAGCTGTAACTTTTGCTATAGCTACATAGCCAACATTAGCTTTAACAGCTGTTTATTTTCCAATCAAGAAGAAACATTGCGAGTTCAGAAAGCCTCTTGTTTGGCTTCTATTTCTATATGATTTTCCTGTCGTCCACATAATTTTCTAGTTTTGCTGTATTAGAAGGTATCTAAAGTGTCTCTGATAGCTTTTGTTTGAGCCTCATTATCTTCTTCTCTTGCATGTTCACCTCTACCCTCCTCATATTGACAGACGACTCCACCTCAATCTAAATGCCGATTCTCAACTCTCCGTTAACTCTGAGCCACGTCTAAGCTGCCCAACAAACACTTGGTGACCAAGTGTCTAATCACTTTTGAACCCTTGAAATTTGGGCACTATGTGTTAAAAGAGCTTTATCTCCCACACAGTTCATTCAATAGTGACATAAACCTACTCAAATTAAACCCAGGACTTGGAACATTAACGTAATATGCATTATTTTATTTCAAATTGAATTTGCTGAAGCTCAGAGCCTGAAGAACAAAGAGTGTGTAACTGTCCAAATACTTACGGCCTGGACTGTATTTCCCTCAGCAGTTGGTGGAAATCAAAAGAGAGCTAAAAGAGAATGAATATTGGACACAGATTGTTAGGCAACATATGAAGCTCAGCAGCACTGGATGTCAACTGAGGAGGATTAAATAAATATGAATAAAGGAGTAAATAGAGGGCAAGTGATGTACACGGACACTGTGTATACTCCATATACTCTGTGAAAAACTGTATTAATGCTAAACAATTAAAAGGACCATGAGGACCACTATGTACCACTAAAACCTACAAAATACACAAAAGTATACAATATATAAAAGTAACTCATTCAGTGTTATTATTAATATGAAGAAACAGAACAAATGGATTAAAAAAACACAAGACCTGAAAATTTGCCTTGAAAGATATGGAGGACTTTGACTCTGTTGGAGGACAAATGAGTTCATTTTTGCCCAAACTATGACTCTACTCCTATAGATCCAGATTGTTGTACACACAGACATAGACAAACACACACACACACATAGACTGAGAGACTGACTGACTGACTGACTGACCAGTGGACTTTAACATCTGTTGAACATTGATCTTTTACATGCCTGCAGCTGTAGCGCAGGTTCTGGCCTGTGAGCTGCACAGACACGACCGAAAAGGGGTGGTAAACTTCAATCCAGTACTTCCTATTTCACTGGAAAATCATCCCTCGGTGCAGAAAATCTTAGGAGGGAAGAAACCGAAATAGGAAGTGAAGTTTGTTGACAAAAATATAAAATTGAACTTCCTCAAAACTATTGTGGGTAAGAAAACAAAGCAGTAATACAGGGTGCACTATGGTGGCAATGTTGTTCCGTCGATCACTTTGGTTCAGACTGAGATCTCACCAGCTTCATTCATAGTTCCCAGATGATGAATCCTACTGACATTGCTGATTCCTTAATTCTTCCCGCTACTATCAGGTCAATCAAAATTTCAATTTGTCCTATAAAACTCGGCTTGGTTTATGACCAAACGCCTGCAAAAATGAATTACATTCCCATCAGCCTCAGCTATACTGTGTGTTTCGTGCCTTTTAAGTAAGATGGTGAACATGATTAGTATTATACCTGCTAAACATTAGCATGTTAGCATAGTTGTTTTGAGCATGCCAACGTTAGCATTTATCTCAAAGCACTGATGTGCCTAAGTGCAGCCTCGCAGAGATGCTAGCATGGCTGTACACTGTTAGGCTACGTCCACCCTAATATGATTTTATTTTAAAAGAAAAATGCTACTCTGGGCATACGCGAGTTGGTGTAAAGAGGGCGCAGATTGTGTTCTCTGCAATTAATTACTTGCCAAAATACTATGAACGAGGAACAGCAAAGGCTCTTGTAATTCGTTATCCATGTTGCTTTCACCACTGGTAGTCGTAACTGATAAGACCCGATCAGGGTGTGATGTTAGAGTGTCAACGTCATTGTTTCCAAAGGTCTCTGTTTTCTGCCCGTCCAGACAACAACACAACTCCTGAGTTTACAGCCTAAAACAGGACCAGCAGCATTTCCAGTTGTCTCCATTTTAGGTGTTTGAACTCCAGAGAAGAATGGACACTGCCTGTAAAAGTAGCAAAAGAGATTTTAAAACTAAAACGTAGTAGTGTGGATATAGCGTTAGTCTTTTACTTGATAAATTACTTAAAACAATCAATCAATTGATAACTTTGTTAAACAGCCTAACTCCTCCGCTTGTGCTTTATTCACCTTCTTTAAATATGATGAATTAATAACAGAGTATAGAAGATCAGTACAAAAACATGGAATAGGAAAGAGTCACTATAGAGTTAAAGGTTCAGGTTCCAGATGTGAGATAACAGCTGGAGGGAGGCCAGGATCTTGTCTGCCTGCACTGCACTGCAGGTGACCGTGACCTCTGCCTCTGATGAAAAACAAATGTGTCTGACCGCAAAGAGGGAACAGTGGAAAGAGCAGTTCCGCTTTAGTAGTGTAAAATCATGAGGCATTTTCATCTTCAGGTTTGTCTTCAGCTTGGCTCAATATTTCTTCTTCTGTGTTTGATTTGCTGCATATTTTTTTCTTCTGCCTCAGTTTTATTCATTTGCCTTTGGGGGTTTTACAGTCTGTACAGCAGCAGACAACTCCCTCTGTCCTTAGACCTAGAACTCTAAAGGGGGAAAAATGGAAGAAACCTCAGGAAGAGCGTCAGAGGAGGGATCCCTCTCCCAGGACAGACAGTAGGGACAATCAGGGTGACAACATTATAGATAAATTGTAAACATATATGCCAACGAGACCTTAGCCACACGACCTCTTCTCCACCATGAAGACCTGGACAGATCACACATAACATACAAGAGAAAAACTCAACCGGCCACACTAATATTTCCTTTCCTGTCAAGTGCCAACTCCACAGATTTTCTAATAAGCATCTGATTTTGCTTCCTCATTTTTGTAAACATTTGTTGATGACTAACCTTTTGTCATTCATCTTTGGCCCCCTCACTCCCTACCTCCCTCTTTTCCTGCTGAGATATTTGTGGTTCTGACTTGGCTCTGCCCTGATTCATCAGAATGATTTGACATTTAATTGTGATATTTAAGGTCCCACATTTTACACCTTTCCTTTGTTTGATTTTTAAGTCTATTTGAAGTTCCAATATCCACAAGTGTCCAACTTCCACATCTTCACGCTCCACATTGATATATAAAAGGCACACTACTTGCATTGGCTCTAAATGTTGGTACTGGATGTATATAATGAGTTTCATAATTCTTCTTGATTCTGGACAGCAGTTAAAGCTGAAGTGTTTAGTTCATTAATTTAAATATACTGTTGACCAAAGTGAATTCTCTCTCTCTTCCCTCCGAACTTTAGTTTCTGGGAGGTTGGTGAGCCCAACAACCACATCAACGAGGACTGCGGCTACATTGTGAAAACCCGCGTGTTGACACGAGTGCCGATAAAGAGCTGGTACGACGCCCCCTGCACAATGGACTTACCCTACATCTGTGAGAAAGAAATGAGCGCCGGTGCCAGTACCGCCATTCCACACTGAGATTTCAACGTCACTCTGATCATCTGAGGTAAACAAGGGAAGAAGTTTACCCATCCAGTTGTTCATCAGGCTAACAACCTGATGCGTGAATGGCTGATATTTTGCAAGTACAATTCCACCTACTTTTTTTGATTGATTTTGTCCAGGGTTTCTGCCTCTCAGGCAACACACAGGCTGCACTATCTTCTTGGTGGAGGTCTTTGGGGCTGTTTCCAGAATTAAAGGTCCCATTTTTTATATTTGTGGTTTTAAGAACCAAAAACCATCTCAATGTAGTTTCACATCTCCTTTCTCAGGTTTCTCTCTGGAGCTCTAGTAACAACAGGTCAGTGAGCCAATCAGAACAGAGGAGGCTCTGAGCATCGCTTCTGATTGGCTGACTGTTTTCTGAGTGATCCAATAAAAAATATAGCAGATTTCAGGTAAACACACAGGGAAAACAAATCCTGCAAGGTTGGATGGTGGGTCCCGGTGGGTGGGGCTTGGGGAGTGGCTGAGAGCAGTGACTGCTTTGTTGTGACATCACAAAATTACAGAAGTCCTGACGGCTCATTATAAGGCTCAGTGTCTGAATACAGACTGTGAGCATTTCTCTGTGGACTGAGCGCTTTGATACTTTCACAGTATTAATATAGAACCTAGACCTGCTTTATAATCAAACAACACATGGACATCTACCTTTATACTATATGGACCTTTAAATTGAAGGCAGGAATCAAGGCTAAAACAAAAAAGGTACTTCGACCTCATTTAATCTATACTATCATTTTCTATTAATATGATATACTACCATTATTATGAAAAGCAAAAAATTTGAATATTGACCGATTTCATTCATTTGTTATTTGGTAAATTGAAAAAAACATTGATAAATGCAAGAATAGCATTCAAATAGCATTTTAAGAACCCCTGACTTCATTGGGCCCCTCTTACTTTTCTACTGATAAAAAGTATCACAACTAACCTGAAGGTCAATGGCTGCACTTGGTTTAGTATTCATTGTAGATATATATTTTTTTCAACATATGAGATGCGTTTTAGCCCAAGAAAACCTCAGTTGAGTCACTTTCTGAAGGATTGCAGTGCCTTAGTGATTTAATATGGTCAAATGTATTACATGGTTGGGATACAACAATGTATTTGTGCCTTAAACCACATAATGCCATGTTTTTATGTTGTCATTTATTTCTTACATGTGAATGGGATTTTTAGGAATGAATAGTGTTAGATTTATATTAACTGTATATAAAGGAAGTGTCATGATGATAAATATATGGGAGTATGATTATCAGTAAAAATGATCAGTTTGAATTTGATACACTTTTGCTCAGTTGATTGAGTCTTAATTAATCGAATATGTGAAATTGCAGAAATGTGTCCTGTGGATCCTGTAAATAAATAATTAAAATATTGTTTTGTATATCTTAATTTTCCACCATACTTGACCCACTTATGAAATACCTTATCTGCTTAAATCTGCTTTAATCAGTATTTTCAGAAGATTAAAGTTTATGATGATTTATTGCAAGCTATTTTGCTGCCCCTAGTGGCCAAATAAAATCCAAATCCATCCATCCAAAATCCATTAGTGCAGCTTTAATGTGACACTAGATTTCTAGTAATTATACAACAAAGATGTGCAAACATGTTTGTTTAGTAAGGTCTAGTTTTTGTTTGTTTGTTTGTTTGTTAGTTTGTTTTTCATTTATATGTCCTGCACTTTTTTTTAAAACAGTTTTTTTCTAAGAGACTATTTGCACTAGACCTACCAAACTTTTATATAAATATAAACTTTCGTCCGTTAATAACCCATGCCATTTAAAGACAAAACATGTTTCTCATTCTCTGTGCTATTAACTTATGTTTACCAGTTTTTCGGCCTGATACAAAAGTGTGAAAATTGCAGATATTAAATAAAACATTAGGACACAAATCCTTGCATAGAGATCATCCTATAAAATCTGACACCATTTAACAACATGTAATGGTTCAGTGTCTTTAACGTCTCCTCTCCGCATTGTTGTTGTTGTGATTGTTATTGCCCAGCAGGTGGCACTGCACACACAAACAACCTGTAGTCAACATGTTGATATGTAATGGAGGTCTGCAGGTCACACTGACCAACGGAAGAGCTGGAGAGGAACTAAAGCTGATTTTAAAATTTTTCATTATGAATTAATGTTAAGTATTTCCCCCTGTTGTATTTTTAGATGAGAAAGTTTCAGTTTATCTGTATAAATGTAAAAAAGAAAAAGAAAATATAAAATATAAATTATTATTATATTATAATTATTATTATTATTGCAATTTAAACAACATAGAATCTCTTAACATTTTTCCATTTGATCTCAGATAAATAAAAATAAATTTAACTTAACTAATATTCAAATGAGGTCATTCGTTTGTTTGGAGTACAACAGAATACATGGAAGCAACACAAAAATACACCATCACACACAATCCATACAGGTAACAGTACTTTAACCTTCAACTTCAGCTTTTCTCGTGTAAATGTCTGCTTTTATGTTTTGTCTTTATTAATGAGAGCAGCTGTATACATTTTTTTTTTCATTTAAAAGGCATTAATGTAAATCCCCTATACAAACTAAGAGTGTCATCTCCCCCTGACATGTCATCTCTTCTTTGAGCTGAAAGACGTACATTCAGTCTTCCACTTCCTGTCTTGTTAAAGTGGGCTTAGAGCGTCCCTGAATGAAGAAACCAAAGGTGGAGGGGGTTTGTTGAGTTTATATTCCTGCCTCCCTCCTGAGCTCGTTACCTCAGGGAGTTATCAGGAAGTCAGCTAGCCCTCTTCTGTCACAGTTCATTAGCCCGGATTACAGGCCAAGACTTAGATGGAGAAACACTCAGGCTCGTTACTAAACTGTAATAATGTCCCATCGCCAAATCAAACAATGAACCAGTGAGCTGTAAAGACAGATTTAAGTTTTCAGTTTTAGGAACCCTCAACAACACTGGAAAGAGACAGAAAATGTCTGTATGTAAAGCAGAAAATTACACTGCACTGTGAAGCACAATTTATGATCATGAAAAACAGCAAAGAAGAAACCATCAAGTGATCACTAAAGAAGTCTGAAAAATTATGCTTCAGTAATTTAGTTGTTTCAGTCATCCAAACAGTCTCCTTTTGATTTTTCCTCTTTAAAATTGAAGAAACTTTTGTGTATTCTTTCTTTTTCTTTTTCTTTTTCTTTTTCTTTTTCTTTTTCTTTTTCTTTTTCTTTTTTTTCACCAAAGACAAAATGATGTGCACCTTTGTTTCAATATTTGAAAGATTTGTTCATAAATTACATTTTCACTGTAGAAAGGTAAAAGGAAAAACTAAAAGTAGAGAAAGACTAAGACAAACTACTGGTTGAGAGGAAGCTCATCTGTTTGTGTCAGCGAGTTGACTTCTAATATGAATATCATTACTTCATTAACTCACCCACAGTTTAATACACTTCCCAGAATCCTAGTTGAATATTAAATGTATTTTTTCTGGCCGTAGCTTTAATAATGTTGAAACAAATATCAGATACTGGGGTATTGGAGAATATTGGGACATTCAGCACACAGTGCACAACCTCATACAATGCAGCTCTCACCCAGAGAATAATTAAATATAAAGCTCAGATGAGGGTCTGTATTCTATATTTTCATTTTTTTTTTGTCTTTATTTATTCAGGTATGTTTCTCTCAGAGTAAACCTCTCCTTTCCAGAACGGTCCTGTAAAAAAAAAGAACCCCATAGGTCGTGTGTGCAAGCAGCTTGTTACAAACCATACTTAAGCGACCTCTAGTGGCCGTAGTGGTTATGGCAGGAACAAAGGAGAAAGTTTGGCAAGAAAGTTTGGATGAGGTTGGAGTTCGTGGATAGACCGTTCCACAGCCTTGACCGCCTGTATGGTGCTATGGGTTGTATTATTGTTACCATGACAATGAAGGTCGCTACTATACTCTTTATTCCCTGGGTTGTATCTGAGGGTAGGGACAAACAAATTCGGTCATTTCGGTTCGAGGACTTGTTGCCCTGGTAACAGCTACAGACTGTAGGTCCACACATTCACACCTGGAAGCTGCCCAGCACAGTCTGATCTGCTGGTCGCTGAGCAGCTTCACTGCAGCAGTAGTTTGACCTCAGGACACCTCACTTTTATGATCCCTGCTAATCCTGACAGTCCAGGGATTGATCCGGCGACCTTCAGGTCATAAGCCCTCTCAATAATACCAGATCATGATGAATGATGAAACAGTGGAGTAGCACAGCAACCTGCACAGAAACTTAAAGGACGTGGAGACAATAAATCAAATCCAGACAGAGTCAAAGAGGAGTCAAATCAAAGCGGGTTGACTCGTTGCTCATTAGAAATATCTGGTTTCATCCGTCCAATGATGGCGTGGGGTGGTTCCCAAATAAAAAAAAAAACAAAACATTAACAAAATCCAAAAAAAAGAAATAAAAAACTAAAAAGAAAAATACCTACCTGAAAGAGGAGAGGAGAGTAGTTCTGAGGCAGAAGCTGAGCTGTGGATCCCCACTGAGCTTCCTCGTTTCCCCAACTTAGTTTGAAATTCAAATTTACAAAAGAGTATTCAACAAGCAGACATAATATCAACCAAAATACTGAAAGTATTTAAACTGTATTTTGACATAGTGAAGGAGAGGTCTTCAAGATTAAGCACGGATGCAGAAGTCGTCTCAAAACCTTTTCCATTTTGGTTTATATTACCAAAGGTCCTCAGCTGGTTTTGACTTAGAGACTTTGCAATTGCAGTATTCGTTAGCTGCACTACTGTGATGCTGGACTTCAATTCAACACATTCTCATTACATAAAAATGTGCCTATATACGGAGTGTACTAACTTGATTCATTGATTTTACACTGGATGAGCTTCAGTGTCAGAGAGTTAAATAAACTTGAGTAGGAAGGAGTGAGCTGCCTTTGACAGAACAAATGTTTCATTTTGGACCCTGCAGGCATTAAAACTGTGTGTGTTTGACTTATGGATGAAACACCAGGTCAGACAGGGCTGCGTCACGGTGATGCTGCTGTATGATGTCACCAGGCCTGAGCCAAAAAACCTGTTGCTAAAAAAAGACGCAGCCGGAGGAGAGGCTTAATCTGAGGAGGCCATCAAACATCACCGACGATCTCAGCGTGTGCCCGTGATGCACGACGGCAAACGGTGGATAAGCAGGATATTGAACCAATGAGGACAAGACTCGGGACTCAGGGCTGCGGTGTAGTAACTGGGCTACATTACCTGAGCCTGAGCACTGAGGTAAACATTTCCCATGTGTTTTAGCATCTCAACCAGACAAACAGCCAAGTGGCACGATGCCAGTAAGAGACAGTTTAGCTCATCTAATGATTTCAGTTTACCCCTCAGTGTCCTTATGTGCACAAACACAGATCTGCAGAGCTCACTCCTTATATCACTTGACCTTAAATCTTCCTTTGTCTGCGATTTGTTCAGCAAATGTCATCACCCTTAAGGCTTCCAGTGCATTTTGAATATCTTCCAGATGATATTTAGATCAAGTTTCAATAGCGCGTTCAAAATAAATGTGTATTTTTCCATTCTGTGGTTTTGGGTTTGACACCGATAATCCTCCACCAAACAACCAGAGTAACTACTGTGATGTGAGCTCTTCACCGCAGAAAATGAACTTTGGATGTGTTAGTGCCACTTAAAATGAACCTGACTGCGACACATTTGTTGTTCAATGCTTTGTGACTTTTGAAGTTAAAAGCATTGAACAGCAAGTGCATAAATGTATTATAATACATGTATTATAATACATCTATGCACTTGCTGCGTCCCAGCCGGGTTCATCGCTTTTTCTGTCCCATGGAAACACTTTTGTTGTGTTTTGGGAATTTGCACTGCATGTGTTGTCAAATTGATAAAAATGTTTTTCAGAATTTCTTTGTGTTTTGTCCATTTGCATGTGTTTTTCTTAAGTTGCAGTGCGTTGAGCTCTCAGGGTCACCGTAGCTACAAGCTAACAAGCAACATAAACAAATAAAAGATGCCAACTACGCTAACGGTTCTGTTAAGTCTGCTAGCCGCCGATTTTGGTGCACAGGGCAACAACTCACAAACACGATCCAGGTTTATCAATGAGGAAGTAAGAGCAGATGTGTTTCCTGCCTCAAGTTTTTCACTTTTTATGTGGGAAAACCATGTTAAACAAAATATTAATCATAGCAGCGTATTTTTTGCATCGTTTAAAACATTTCTGGCGAGGAGCTTTAAACATATCAGGTCACGTCATGGTTTTTTCCTAATGAAAACAACGCTAACAACCATGCAGGTTAGTATTGGATTCAGTCTCTACTCCCAACACTCTTTGAATGTAATGGAGTGACTGGGAGCAGCCTCACATGTTGTCTCTGAACTGACTCTGATGTAACGTGACTCCGACAGCAGCAGCCACGGTTCTTCATTTAACAGGAAGAATGAACTTTTCAAACTGAGTAAACGAACAAAGACAAGCTTCACACAGCAGACTGCGTCTTGTTGAAAGAACTACTGACGGAAAACAGATTTAAATCAAATAAACTCAACAAAGGTTTACGCATCCAATTTAATGACGCTGCACCAGATTTGCAAGTTCAGACCATCAACCGAACTAGAGGAACAACTTAATTTTCAGTAATATTTTTATGTTGAAACAACACCTTATATTTCAGTGTGGAATGTGGCGACGGGCCAGAAAAAACTAAGTACTCCTTTGGAGATCTAATTAATATCACATTATGGCAGCTTATTACCCAGGTGGACTTCCCCACCACACACCTTTCCTAGGAAAAAAAAAAAAAAAAGGAAATCTCCTCACAAGCTACAAGTCAGATTACAGGATGTCAAGGGGGGGACGGGCCAAACCCAGATCATCTGTCATCAGAGACCAATCCCTGCTCTGCTTCGGGTTGTGGCTCGACCCAAAACCTCCCTCCTGTGCTACCTCACTTTTGGCTTCCAGGTTTATCCGACCTCCTGCGTTTCTACCTGTCTCCCTGACCATTTCATATCCCCATTCTTCAAGAGGTTATTATCTCCAAGGGGTGCAAGACTCAGTGTGTAAATTTGTGAAGTCATTCTTTACAAGGCGCCAGAACCTCTTTTAACTTTCAGCTATTGTTTAAAAGAGCAGCAGAACTCCGTGTTTGACTCTTGATCCACTTTTTCGTTCGTTTTTTCGTGTGACGCATGTTTAGCTTGACCTGCTCTAATTCCCTAACGAGATTGGCCGTCCCCGGATATCCCATTAGACCCTGATTAACTAGGCTCAGCTCATTAGCTCTGACAAACCAATTCACCCCTGTCAACCTCCGCCCCAGACTCTCCATCCCTGCTCCTGCATCATGACGAAAGAAACACGCACCGCAATGCCGGGAACCCGGCACATAATGTCATACATGTGTCCTGCAGATCAAACAAGAAATAAAAATAATGTCTTAAAGGTGGGAATAAGTTTCTTGTTCTGCTTCCTAAATCAATAAGAGGTTGTTTGAATCCGACTCATTTTGCCTTCTCACTTTATCCAGGCTTTTGATTTGCTGTCTTTGCACCTGAAACTCATCAAAACTGCCTGGTTATAGCTTTTAAACAAGAGCATGTTCTATCATATTTAAATATGTGCATGGCTGATGTGTCAGTTTCCTTCCTCTGGCACCGACTCATTGTGCAACAGGTGTAATTTGTCTGCAAACCTCCACAACCCTTTTCCCTCCTCGCCTCATATTCTCACATTTCATCTCCACCTGTTCCCTTTCTCTTCCTGCCTTGTTCTTTCATTTCTTCACCTGCTCTTGTCTTTTGACCTCATAACCTGATTTTCTGCCACCAATTGGTTTACCAACCACCTCTCGCCATGCTCCCTCTCCCTGTCTCTCTCTCTCGCTCTCTCTCTCTCTCTCTCTCTCCTTCCCTCTCTATTTCCATCTTTGAGCTTTATCCCTTCATCCCTTATCTCCTTCATCCCCTCCAATCCTCATCTGTTCTTCACTGTTGGAGGAAGGGAGAGAGAAAGAGAGAGTTTTTCACAAGTAAGCTGATAGCAGTCTGCCGGGTGAGAGCGTCGGAGGAGCCAGCGAGCAGGTTGTGCGCCCTGGGACTGTTGGGATCTAAAAAAGCTCACAGGGGAAAACGCAGAGCCGGAGGTGTCTGGAACCAGGAGCTGCAGAAGAAGAGGAGAAGGGACCACGCTGTGTGTGGGAAAAGGTGAGTTTCTTACTTTTTTGCCCCTGTAGCTGCACTCTCTTCAGCTGCTTCCTCTTGCTGTTGGAGATCATTTGGAGCTGCACTGAGCTGCTCTGAGGCAACTTTTTTTTTTTTTTTTTTTTTTTAAAAGAAAGACAGAAGAAGAGTTTTTTTTTCAAAAAACTGTTGTTGGACTTTTGCCTAAATGTGCAACACAGGGGATTTGTGGGAAACTTAATAGGACTCTTCTGCACATGCCTCCAAACCAAGAGCTGTAGTTCCATTTGCATTTGCAGTGATTTGCAGGAGCTTTCCACCTTCACTTCTGAGTTGTTTTATAAAATGCAGCTTTCATGCACGAGGGCTGCTCTACTCCAAACTCTCCCTGCATCTTGAAGCATCAATTCCTTGTTGTGAACAGAATAATTTATCAGTCCTGTGTAAGATTGAATCCAATGTAATGATTACTTAAACCCTTTGAAGGTGATCTTTGGATTGTGGGGGAGCTGCCAAAGAGGATTGGTGCCTCAGGTGTAGCAGCAGTAAGCTGCAGCCTGATCTGTCACACAAGGCCAAACCTCATCCAGCTCACTTTGTCTGCACATATCCTCCATCGTGTTTTGGTTTTTCTACGGCTGCTACTTCAAACTTTTGTCTCTTTCTAGCACAAAAAAAAAAAAAATCCTGATGATTTCCAGCTCTGGGAATTCATTTCAACTGAGGTTGTACAGTAAATACAATTGTTGAAACATAAAGGTGTCATTAATTCAAATGAGAGAACAGGCAGAGCAGAGGAGGAGCTGCCTGACGTTTGGACTATAACAGACCCTCCACATCTCCCACCGTCCACATCGCCCTCCCTCCTTCTCTCTCTCTCTCTCTCTCTCTGATCCCGAGGTAAAGAGCGGTCGGTAATCGGATGACAGGAGATTTGACCGGTAAAGCTTCCCTTAAGATCTCCTGCCGGGATTTAAAACCCTGTAGCAACCCACCCCAAACCCCACCGCTCCCACTGTCACCACCGACACTGGCCCCTCTTGTATCCTCTACATCCTGTATCCTGCCACAGGTACCTGCACATAGGCCACGTCCTGAACCTTCACCTCTGCTGTTAAATGGATCTGACCTTGTCATGCAAGACACATATGTGGGGCTACGAGTTTGTATTTTAAGCATTTAGTCTGTGAAATATCACATTTTGCCTTCATCATGTGTTAAACTTAAGCTAGTTTTGTTTGACAAACAGTCTGAAACTTACAAATATTTAATTTGCAATGATATAAAACAGAAAATCATCAAACCTGAGAAGCTGGAGCCAGTGAATGTTTGATAATTTTGCTTGATAATTTTCAAAATTGCTGAGGCTTCATTCCCAAATCATGTAAAAGTTTTTTTTTAAAGTGTCTCTGGAAACTATAGTGTTGCAACAGTTGCAAAGAGCATTTAAATGGGAAGTGGTTGAAGCTCTGTGTTCACTTCCTGTAAGACACAGATTTCATTTTTTGCATTTTAACCTTGTCACCATGCTAGCAAATGATACTCTTTGAGCTGTCTAGTGCTGGACAAAGTTCCTTGGCAAGAGCAGACTCAGCGTTAAATGAGTCCGACGTCAGTATCCTATTACAGAGTATAAGGCACTTACACTGAACTGCAGCAAGGCTTTTAAGAAATGATGATTATGTCAAAATAAAAGAACCACAGGACGATGAAGACACTGAATATGAGGTGAGGAGTTTAAGGTTTTGTCTACGTTAAATATTAGAGACTTGACCACTTGACTCCTCACTCTTTGTTGTGGCTTGACTGTGATGCTGCTGACTGAAAACTTGGCTGACACCAAAGAGGAGAGGGACACAGATTCCTCACAGGGAAAACTGTGATGCAAAACTTTGACTGAAAGAAATTCAAGTGTAACGTTCGAGACAGTTAACGAAAGCTAAAGAGTCTCAGTTCTTAAATGAGCATAAAAAGTCAGAGATTACTTTTATATCACACACTGCATGTGTTTTATATCCAGGGACAAATCTTCTAGTTTCCTTCTTCACTTCCTCCCTTTCTTCCTTCCTAATTCATTCATACTCATTCCCCTCCTTCGTTCCCCTTCCTGCTTTCCTTTAGTTCCTTCTTTCACTCCTTTGCTTCTTTCCTCCATAAACCTAGTTCTTCTCTTTCCTCTCCTTCCCGTCTCTTCTACATTTACACTTTAAAGTTATTTCCTATTCTCTGAGCAATCTTTCCTTTCAGCCTTCCAACCATGAAGACTATTTTCCCTCCTTCCTCCTCCCTCACCCTGTCTTGCTCTTCCTCACCTCTCCCTCCCTTCACCCTCTGCACATCATACCTGGGCATTTGTATGAGAGCTAACAGCATTACAATTTTGGTTCAGGGGAGGGATTACACCTGTCAGGTATGTGTCTAATCTTTGCTCTAGATTTGATGGTGTAACGGCAACCCAAGTGATCCAGATCAAGGTATCAGGGCCACTGAGTGATGTGCAGGCCGGTCAGTGGATCTGTGCGTACCTGTGCAGGACTGTAATGTACTGCAGGGTCAGAGCCGAGCTGTCAGGGTCACACGTGAGAAGGAAGTGGTCTCATTTCCAAACTGGAGCTTCATTATTGTTGTTGTTGTGATGACATGCTGATTTCTAGCATAATTAGCTTCATGCAGGAACAAATACAGATGTTCTCGCAGTTTGTATATGCAAATATGTCCCATCCATACGCAACTGAATTTGAGTTCAATCTAGGGTTTTCGCACTGCCCCCCCCCCCCCGAGCAAGAATGAACTCGTGTTTTTTGTCCTTTTCCTCTTTTTTTCCCTGTTTTCTGTTACAGAGTGACAGTTTCGTTTTCCGTCAGTAACATCCCCTAGCAACTGTCGCCATGGCAGCTGAGAAAGCTGAAATAGATGCACTGAAAAAGGAGTGCGATGGCCTCCGCACGCAGATTGAGGTGAGTACTTCCTGTTGCGGGTTAACAAAATATGTTGATGCGTCACAAGGACGCAGACAAAGCAGCTCTGGATATTTTCATTTACTTGACAAGTTCAATATAATCAAAACTGGAGATACATGGTTTTTTTCCTGGACAAAGAAATACCTAAAACTGACCTAAACTGGAGATACATGCTTCTGACTGCACAGGGATGATAAGTAAAATAAACTAATACCTCTAAACTACCACTAGTACAGTTACCATCTACTACTGCTGATGCTCCTCTACCGCCTCTAGTCAAGAGCTTTAACTAAAAACAGAAACAAAAACAACACAACAAGCAAATCTTTTCAATTATTTTCTATTGCAAAACACAGAAAAATTAAGCCTTGATGAAATTTGTAGACCTGAACATCAAACTGGAGTTTGACCTCCCTCACTCTCTGATCTCTTTCCCTTGCTTGTCGTTCCCTGTGTGGCCACCAGGCGGCCCGTAAGGCCGTGAATGACGGCAGCATGTCAGCATCTGCAGGGGGCGTGGCCGCGGTGGGCCGAGTGCAGCTGAAGCTCAGGAAGACGCTCAAGGGTCACCTGGCCAAAATCTATGCCATGCACTGGTCAGCTGACTCCAGGTGAGTGGTACTTATACAGGTGCGGTTCTCCTGGTTTGCTGCAGCTTTGACAGTTCAAGTCCCCTGTTAGCTGCCTGTGCTCAGTTAAATGTCAGAGAACTAGCAACATCTGAGCAGGTCAACAGCCTAACAAGACTAGACAGGTGCTTGACATTTGAAACCTCAGATCAGCTCAGATCATTTATCTTGGCTACATGTTCAACTCATGTTTTGGTCCAAAGAAAAACCCTAGCGGGTCTGTCTGTGTGGAGCTTAACATTTAAACAGGTTTACTGCTACATTATAAGAAAACAGATGATTGATGTGAATTTATTCATGAATGAAGTGAGATGTAATGTATTTGGCAGCAAAGATGAGCTGCACTGCCGATAACAGTGACTGATTGATGTTGATTTGTGTTTGAATCAATAATCGAGAGCCAAATCTTAGTCTGCAGTGGTGTTTTTGCTCTTTTATAACATCTTTTGTGACATTAAAGAGAAAAACAAAACACGACTCTCCTTATTTAAAATGATACACATTTTTAAAAAATCTTCACACAAACTCGTATGGTATCATCCTGTCTGTGTTGCAGGTCAATGGTCAGTGCATCACAGGATGGTAAGCTGCTCATCTGGGACACCTTCACAGGGAACAAGGTGAGATCATCTATGCTGGGCAGACACTGGAATTTAGGGTGTTTCTATTCCCAGTTAATTTTATTTGTGACGTAGATTCTGACATTGCGCTAGTGGGTGCAGTAAACAAAACAGGACAATAATGGAGAGGTGCATGAGATTGTTTATTGTACAGCATGCCTCTAAAATGAGCATCATGGCTCTTCTATGTATTCCTCAGCAGTCACAGCATTTTTAGATGAGGTTCAAGTAAGAAATGGGAAGTTACTTCGCTTGCTGAAATTGTTTTATTTCAAATTCACTTTGCAGGACATTTGTTTGTTGCGAGCAGCGTTAGACATGCAAGAGATGTGCCTTTCTTTGCTAATTTTATTTAGTTAAATATCTCCTTCATCGTGTTTTTGAAAATCAGTAGTTAAAGGAGCTGAACTGAAGCTTCTGATTGGCTGGAGCAGTTTACCCGCAGGAGCTTCTAATCCTGAAATAATTACATTAGTCTGGATTTGAGTGGTGAGTTAAGTATGGAGTGATGGTTTAACTTCTGTTTCCAGCCTGTCAGGAATGAAATCATGGTGGGGAAAAGTGACTTATAATAAACTTTTGAAGATGTTGAATATAAACCGCTCTGGTTTCAGTCACTCCATATCAGTTATACCCTGATATGTGAAGCAGCCTGTAAATCAACTGCACCTTTTGCTCCACAGTTGGTTGCTGTCCCACTAAAGTCAGCCTGGGTGATGAGCGTCGCCTTCGCCCCCTCTGGTAACCTGGTGGCCAGTGGTGGTCTGGACAACATGTGCACAGTCTACAACATCAAGTCCGCCAGCCCCAAGACCCTCAGGGAGCTGGATGCACACACAGGTGAGGGTGATGATACGGCCTGGATGAACTGATGGATGGACGGATGAGGATGCTGACTGAATGCTCGGCTGTCTCTCTCCCTCTCAGGTTACCTGTCTTGCTGCCGTTTCCTTAGCGACACCGAGATCCTGACAGCCTCTGGTGACACCACCTGGTGAGTTTATCACAGATCATTTTTGCTTCTTGTAGCCATGTGTTTCATATATACAGTATATACAGTACATATATATATATATACAGTATGTACTGAAATTACACTGTGCTATCAGCACCCTAGTAATAAACTTAGTTTTGTCTTTTAAAGAAAATTTGAATCAAACTATAACTTTTTTTAACTAAAATACTTGTTTGTTTATGTTTGTGCAATCTTACAGTCCAACAATTTTTCCCAGCTTTCAGTACATGTTTCATTTTGTTGCATTTTAAGACAAAACACACAAAGAACTAGTGATTTTTATAACGATTGACGTATAGAATATCTAAATATACAAAAATATGAATGTTTAAATATGACTTTGGTGCAGCTGAAGTTACTTTTTCATGGCATGGTATGCTAGAGAGTGAAGGTGTTTTGAACCTGATGCATAATGGACTCACTCAAAACTGTAAAGTTATAAAGTAATTTTCACACAAAAAGAAATCTGATCCAGAACAGTCAGACCAGAGCCAAAAATAGACCCAATGGTCCAAAACGCAGTTCCCTCCTCTATACCCCTCTGTTTCACACCTCCTCTCCCTCTCTCCTCCCAGCTGCCTGTGGGACCTGGAGACTGGCAAGCAGAAGATTATCTTCACCAACCACATTGGAGACTGCATGTCGCTGGCTATGTCCTCCGACATGAACACCTTCATCTCTGGAGCCTGCGACTCTCTGGCCAAGCTGTGGGACCTGAGGGAAGGGACCTGCAAGCAGACCTTCAGCGGACACACCAGCGACATCAACGCCATCTCTGTGAGCATCCTACCAACCATCACACACACACACATGAGAAAATAGAAACCCTTCTGCTGCTTCTGCTTGTTAAAGCAGGGTTGGGGGGGGGGGGAGTTAAGATTTAGTCAAGAGCTTTAACTTACAGAAAAAAAAACCTGCACAAATTCATGACTAAACTCCTGTGGTACTTTGTTTGATGACATTTTGCATCGGGTTTGTGTTACTGGATGTAAACACACAACAGACAATCCATGTAACTAGGTGACATCATCTTACCAACAAACCAATAAAAAAATAAAGAAACGATCATCAATAAAAAAGAATACTTAGATTTTTAATGTACAAAGGTAAATTTAATCTAGTTTCTAGAACCGCAAAAGCTAAAAGAACATAAAAAAATCTAAGACAATGAAAGACAATGGAAACTTCAACCGATGTATTTGGTGACTGGTGCAGAAAGAGGCAGGTCAATAACAACCAAACGTGCTGATAAACACCCATCGTTTATCTTTTTCTCCCCTGCCTCAGTTCTTCCCCAGTGGAAACGCCATCATCACAGGCTCCGACGACTGCAGCTGCAAGATGTACGACCTGCGTTCCGACCAGGAGGTGATCGGTTACCAGGACAGCAGCCTGAACGCCGGCGTCACGTCTTTGGCTCTCTCCAACTCAGGCCGCCTTATCTTTGCCGGTTATGACGACTTCAACTGCCACATCTGGGACTCACTGAAGGGAGAAAAAGTTGGTGAGTAATAAATAACAGCGATGGCCATTTTACACTATTTTTTATTTTTATTTTTATTTTTTTAAATCAGGAACTAACAACAAAATCAACAGGAAGATGAAGAGGAGTCATAAACAGCTGAAGTTTTAACAAAATAAATAATAGAAATAAAATAAAAAAGACACACAAAGATGATGAAAGCCTGGTTGTATTTTTGAAATATCTTTTAAAATCAACATCTTGATCTCCTGAGCTGAGGGAAAAACTCAGTCGAGGTTGTAGTGTCCTGGTAGCAAATTCATACGGAGGCCCTGAGAGCTCAACGCCCCGCAACTTAAGATAACACATGCAAAGACACAAACGCGCCGCAAATTTCAGAAAAACTATTTGACAACACATTGTGCTGCAAATTCTCACAACACAACGGAAGTGTTTCCAGGATTCACTAAAAAGTGATAAAAGCATTGAATAACACGTGCGTCCCAGCATGGTTCATCACTTTTTCTTTTTTTTTTTGCCTTAATTCCGATAGCAAGAGTGAGAGAGAGAGAGAGAGGACAGGAAAGGGCCACGGGTTGGACTTGAACCCGGGTCGCTGCGGTCAGGATTAGGCCTTCATGGTTTTTATCTAAATCTGTCATTTTCAAAAGACCTGATGATGAAAAAGTCCAATTACTCACAGATAAATACAGTAAACATGTCTAGATAAAGTTCTCTCCATTCCTTCTCTCTCTTTTTTTTGTCTCCTTTCCTTTAATACTTTCCTTTTATTTTCCGTTGCCTTGTGTGTTTCTTTTCCTCTCCTCTTTCCTCTTCTTTGCCTGTCCTTTTCTTTCTTTTGGGTTCTTTTCTCTTTACTTTCATTTTTTTCATTTCCATGCTCTCCCGTCTTCTCTCATTTCTTTCCTCTCATTCCTCTCCTCTCCCCTCCTCCTCCAGGTGTGCTGTCTGGCCATGACAACAGGGTGAGCTGCACTGGTGTCCCCGAAGACGGTATGGGCGTCTGCACAGGATCCTGGGACAGCTTCCTCAAACTCTGGAACTGAGGCATCCCAGCGGAGGAAAACACCAGGAGGAGAGGAGGAGGAGGGGGAGGAGAGAAAGAGGAAGAGGAGGAGGAGAGGAACTGGAGGAAAGGGGGAGTAAAAGGCTGAAGACAGGGAAGGGAAGTGAGGTTGGAGATGTTTGGTGCAGATGTTCGAGGACAGGCCTTCCTCTCTTCCTCTCCCCCTCTCTTCCTCTTCCCCTCTTACTCATTCATGTATGCAAAATATGAGAGGCTGCGAGTGAGTCACATTGTATAAATGGCATCAGGTGAACAGTGAGCGATGCATCCTGCTGTATGTACAACAGAGTTTTATTATGACGAGACGATGATTTAAACACTGAAAAAATAAAAGCGTTAAAAAAAAAATAGCACCTAATTCAAAATGATTACTGAGCAGAAAAGAAGCTCTTATTGAGAATGTCAATTAAACACAAATAGATTTTTGACAATAAAAAAAATAAAGAACACAAGAATATTGAAAATAAGACTATAGCATTACAGATTTATTTTTATTGTCTTTGACCTGTAAAAGAGCCCTGGACTTATTTAGATGAAAGATTGATATGTACATTTATTTCTATTTTATAGGTTAACACACTAGTTTATGTACAGTGTCTTTTCTTTTTCTTTTTTTTTTTCCTTTTTTTTTTTTTTTTTTGGGGCTGCACATATCCAGAATATATGTGTACGGTAGGGCCGCCATCTTGGGTTCCCCTGCTAACAACCAGCAGACTTTGATCAAAGATGGCCGCCTGGCCGCCACTGTTATCTGTCTCAGCATGAAAAATAAAAATCCGATGATGAATAAAGGTTTAAAGATGGAGCCGGGTTGCCAGGCGGAGGTCTGGTCCCCCCTGTTGAAACACTCTGTAAAGACCTGTAAACTTTGTTTTGCTCCCCTGGGTTCAGCTGCATTTTGTAGGACTTTTACACTTGTGCAGTTCCTCTGTAAAAAGACAAAATGTTTGTTGAAAATCTTTATAATAAACATAGAATTATGCATTAACACCATGTCAGAGTCTGTGTGTTTGTGTGATTTTAAAGTGTTACACTCGTGATAAGTGACATTATTGTGAGTGTACAGTCCTCTGACCTGCCGCTGGAACAGGACGTACAGTACGTGTGCAAAATAAAAGCAGCCTTTTTCATTTGTTCCTTTAGTTGCAGAGCTCTTGATCTGGAGGACGAAACAGTCTGGAGGGAAGTTTTATTAACAAGGTCGACAAACATCGGCTGCATGAGTCACACCTGCACACGACAACACACAGGGTGAACACACACATCGGTGCAAAATCGGGCAAGAAAACACAGCAAGGCCTAATATTTATGTTTTATCTTCGGTCTGAAATCTGTTGCAACATGTCCAGTGGGAATAAAAGAAGATACACAACCAAACAAAAACATGGACTCATAAAGCACACATCACCAAAACCTTTTTATATAAGTGTTGATTTGTGTCAAACTCTAGCAATAGGTGGATATTTTACAGGTTGATTCCAGTATTATCCGAATGTTGTGTATGTTATATAGATTTGACAGAATATAAATATACATAGATCAAATATTTTTCCACCAAACAGCGTCTGTTTTTATGTTGGGGAATGAAATTTATAGAAACTTTTCTGAGTGGGAGGAGGAAATCTGTGTCACAATATGAGAAAATAATGGACTATATGAGCAAAAGAATGTTATTTATTATAATGTTATTTCCTCTGCTGAGTTAATCATGTTTACTGATTACACAGCATGAGGTATCACTATTGTTAATACCCGCTGTGTAATGACTCAAATAATCACTGCATCTGCTGAATAGTCACTATAGTGAAGAGACAAATATTTTCATCTGACCGTTAAATATTTTTGGTAACACTGACCTTATAGCTGATAAATACAGGGACCTAAAGTCCCAGTTTATTCTATTTATTCATCATCAATTCAATGCTTGATGTTCATGTTATAAGGAAAATGTTTAATTTCTTTGGTTTTACACATTGTTATTGTCCATAAAAAGACATATGTCATTACAAAGCTGTGTATTTTACTTTAATAGGGACATAACTGACCTGTGAAATTTCAAACTATGATTTCCAACAAAATATTATTTCCTCGAGAAACATGGAGTGGTTATATAAAGTAGTAATAGTAGTAGTAGAGTATAGACAATAAGAAAAATAGACATACTGATTTGAGGAAAATTGACCTACAAACAGTAAAAAAAAACAAAAAAAAACAAACGTACAGCATCAGAATAAATAAATTTAATTACTGTGTGTGTGTGTGGGTGTGTGTGTGTGTGTTTGTGGGGGTGGGGGGGTCATCCTTCCTAGAGGACATCATGTCACCAGCAGGGGGCAGTAATGGGCCTTAAAGTTGTTTGACTCGTTATAAACCCAAACCAGAAGAAGAGAGATTTTTTTTTTTTTTCCCCGGTGATGAAATTTCCGACGGCACCTGACATACACACCAGCGCCTGACTCATCATCATCCTGCAGCAGCAGCTGATCCTGCTCCGGACCTCCACCGCCTCTCTTCACCGGGTCTCAGCCACCGTCAGCCGGGCCATGGCGTCCAGGAGCTTCTTCGTGGGAGGAAACTGGAAGATGAACGGGAACAAGGAGAGTCTGGGAGAGCTGATCACCACCCTGAACACCGCCAGCCTCCACGACCAGACCGGTGAGTGGCGGATCCGGGTCCGGTAAAGTCGCTGCTGCAGGTTAACTGTCATCAGCTGGTGAAGGTTTTCTGGTGCAGAGATACACATGTGATCGATACCGTGGGATTCAGATAGACACCGGGGGGGGTGTAGGGGTGATGCTGCTCAGATGACACGGTGACATTGGGACTCATGTGACCAGGATGAGTTGCGTAAAGGCCTCTGACGTAAAATAACTACGTATATTTACTCAACTACTGTCCTTTTAAGTTTATCTCCATTCCTGCCTCTTCAAACTTCCACTCTCACTTATTTCAAATGACATTTTTACTCAGCTATTTTTAGTGGTTAATTTTCAAAGTAAGATTTTTTACATAAGTGGTAGCTTTGGTTTGCGGCCCCTTACAAAATAAATGTCTGTACATAAAAGATCAATTTTACCTTTTCAGTGACAAACTTCTTATTTTGTTTTTCCATTTAATTTGGTGAGGGTATAAATGAGACTAAATACAAGCACCTCTGTCTTAGCCCTTCACAATAAGGCCTCTCCCCCTATAGCCCACACCTGTACCCCATGGCTGCAGAAAGGTGCCTAGCTGCTGAGCCAAAGAGTAATATTTACACTTATATTAGGTTTTAACAATCAATTGCAATATTACTGAAATCACTATATGGCCAAGTGCAATATCCAAATCACAGGAGCGGCAATTTTTTTAAATAAAGGCCAAATGTGTCACATCCATTCTAAATGAAGCATTGTGGTGCTGCAGAAACACCACCGACGGAACATGGTTGTTTGGTTTAGACCCCAGAAAAAACCAAATCATCATCTTTATGTTTTTTTTAAGTGGAAATCATCATTCCCATTAAAATGTGGGTCATATCGCAATATCTGTCAAAATAATTGTAATATGTTTTTTCTGCATGTGTTCAGCCCTGATTTATATGATGTGTTGCAAACAAACAAACAAACAAAACCTCTTCTTATGTAAAAGCTTTGTGTTAATTAGTCATTAACATGAAATGTGGAAGAACTTTTTCATCTTTACAAGAGAGGTTTCACCTGTAAACCTCAAATAGTCTCATTTAAATAAAGAGGAAAAGGAAAAGACAAATGGAAAAAAAACGTAAAAAAAATAAATAAATAGATCAATCTTTTTCTTTTTTCTACTTTGCAGAGGTGGTGTGTGCTGCTCCCTCCATCTACCTGGACTTTGCTCGGTCCAGTCTGGATCCCAAGATCGGGGTCGCCGCCCAGAACTGCTACAAAGTGGCCAAGGGAGCGTTCACAGGGGAGATCAGGTTTCTGACCCACTGACTGAACACACTCACATACAGTATTCATGACGCGACCGGGTTTTATTAACTGGCCTGTAGACTTATACACAATCTCAAAATGTAAAAATCTGCTGCTTTCATGTGATTTATGTCGTAATTGAAATAAATCTTTAAGTTGAAGATGGTCAGACAAAACAAGTAGTTGATTCATTGATTTATGTAAAGAATTATTACCAAATTAACTGATAAGGAAATGAATCGTTGGTTGCAGACGTACATGGATGGATTTGTAACTTTGGCGTAGATACAGAATATTTATATATTCAAACATGTCAACTCCACATATGACTTTTTACACCAGCTGAACAGGTGACGTGCCAGAGATCACTAACACGTCTGCTGTCCCTGCAGCCCGGCTATGATAAAGGACTGTGGGGCAGACTGGGTGGTCCTGGGACACTCGGAGCGCCGTCATGTGTTCGGGGAAAGTGACGAGCTGATTGGCCAGAAGGTGAGACGCTCGCTTTCTCTCGTTGCAGAAAAATTTCTTCTCCGGCTGAAGATGTTTGCATCCGTGCATCAGAATTATTTGTGTGGCAGCAGCAGGAAAGAGAAAAAGGCCACAGACACCAGAAACTATAAGCTCCGTCTTTATGTAGGCTGATATTTAAAGATAAGGATGATATCACTGATCTTAATTTGGAGTTTTATAAGTTTATTCTCATGCCAGCAGCTGCATCTGCAACTGTTCAAACATTAGTGTTGATCTGAGGTTCAGTCTCTTCAGGTTTTTGCCTTCACAGTCAAGTCAAGTCAGGTGGTCTCAACTTAGACGAGTCCAAGTCGAGTCTCGAGTCTGCAGCAACTAGTCATCCATCGTTTCTTGTAAACTGGACCGAACTTGGTTCATACTCATCTAGATCATATATATAACTCGTCAATGTCAGTAGTTGAACATGTTTTAGGTTCCACAGAATTTCCTGCACGTATTTCCTGACAAAAGCTGTATCATAACAATTAAACTGTTAATGATGTAGCACACCTGTGCAGGTTTATATATCTGATGCAAACACAGTAATGGCAGCGTGTCTACTTCCACCTGCGCTCCACAGATTAAGAGGTTCCACTGCTAATCTCCTGAAGTATTCTTTTTTTTTTTTTTCGTCAGGGAATTAAAACCTGTGTGTCGTCACATGTTGCTCATGTCTCAGGTGTGCAGGTCCAGGTAAATCTCTGCTGTTGGTTCTCAGGTGGCTCACGCTCTGGAGAGCGGTCTGGGTGTGATCGCCTGCATCGGGGAGAAGCTGGAGGAGCGGGAGGGCGGCACCACAGAAGAAGTCGTCTACGCTCAGACGCAGGTCATTGCAGGTAAACAACAACTTTTTTTTGTCTTTTTTTTTAAATCTAATTTTGTTTTATTCTTTCATATTCCTTTTTTTTCTTTCAGCTTCACGCCGATGCTCACAGATTTGTACGTCCATTAGTTGTAAATAAAGTTCTTGGAAATATTTTTTTTACATTATTATTTTTTCTTGAATATATTTTGGAGGAAACTGAAGCAATAACTTAAAGTTGATCAATCAGAAAATAATAATCAGGAACAATCTTGATGGACTGTGTGAGTCATTTAAGCAAAAGGTTCATTGGTTTCAGTGTCTCCACTGTGAATATTTGCTGGTTTTCCTAGTTGCCTGTGATGGTTAAATTGAATATTATTGGCTTTTATAGTGTTGGTTTATTATAGACCTAAATATTACATCAATTAATTAAAGAAATAACAATAATCATCAGAATAATTGATGATGAAAACAACAATAATGGTCAGAAATATGCTCATTATTCAGTCCTCTTGTATCCGATAGTAAAACAACCTCCACAGCTCAGACATCACAGGATTTAACTGATGCTCCTTCCTCTGGTCTCAGCTCGGCCTCTTGTAGCCTACTTCTGTGCTCAAAGTAGGCTACACCCTGATTTAAAATGCAAATGGGTCAGTGGTCTCTGCTGCTGCAGAAACTTAGAGAGACACAGTCGGTCGTCTTGTTCCTCTGTTCACGCAGGATTTTCTGCTCCGACAGAACTGACGGATCTTTGTGGTGCTGCTCTGCCTTCAGGATGTTTCTCGATCTCAAAGTGAACAAAATAAAATACTTGCTGTTGTGAAAGGCTCCTTGTTGATTCTCCCTCGGTGCCGGTGTTTGCGTGGCTGCGTCACCGCGTCGAATGTGACGGAGGTTTTTTGTTGTGTTGCAGAGAACGTGAAGGACTGGGGGAAGGTGGTGCTGGCATATGAACCCGTGTGGGCCATCGGCACAGGAAAGACAGCCACACCCGAACAGGTAACACTGACACCTTCGTCGGCGTCAGTCCAACACTGACCTGGTTAAAGCCAAAATAACCATGAATCAAAAGATGATGACTCACAGTTTGATTCGCACTGAGGTCATTCAAACACACAGTGATTTTTTTTTTTCCAGTTTACACATTTATTTATTTATTTTTAGTCTGTCAGAAATGAAAAGTACAGGCTCAGAGGTTAAAGGAGCAGCATCATTAAACACCAGCTTATTTGATCACATTTATTCAATCATTTTTTGACATTTTTTATTATTAAAATCTGTCATTATTTAAAGTGACAGACTTTAACAGACTTCAGAGGATCATCACGGTGTGTTTACTGTGACGGTGGGTGCGTTCAGTCTTCCTGTTTTCATCCCGTCAGTAACAGCGCTCAGATCTGACTCCTGCAGATCCAGTATCTCCAGTAAAACTCCGGGTGGCTGCCACAGTTTTCTTCACCTCAACCGGAAACACGCAGAGCGCCGCAGGCTGCGCTATTCAGCTGCTGTTGTTTAAGATCATTTATTTTCGCCCACATTCATTACTGGAATGAATCTGAGTCTCAAACTGACAGAACAAATGTCACATTTGACAGTTTACAGCGCTCGTCAATACCTTAACATGTTGGACTGTAGATATTTAAACAATGGGCTTGTTGCATTTTGCAGTTGTTTCATTGACTTTAATACAAGTTAGTCTCCATGAAATTAATGTGTGTGTGTGTGTGTGTGTGTGTGTGTCCAGGCTCAGGAGGTCCATGAGAAGCTGAGGGCGTGGCTGAGAGCCAACGTCTCAGACGACGTGGCCGACTCCGTGCGCATCATCTACGGAGGTCAGAGATGATTCTTCATCACAGTCGTCAGCTGTACTTTGTGTGGAGGATGTAAACGTTCGTGACTGTGTATCATGTTTGTCTATTGTCAAATGTCGATCCTTTTTCTGGGGTGGAGGTTCAGTTTGAGACGATCAAGGTCCACCAGTCACATAAAAAAGCCATATGTAGCCTGGCAACCATAACCCAGGGCAGAAGAGTTTAAAATGTCCTTGCTGCTCGTATGGTAATCCCACTGGGTGTACGAACATTTTTATCAACTCCTAGCCTAGATTTTAGTTTTTCATTAACAAAAGAAACGTGTCATTAAAGGAAATTAGTTTAATTTTTGTGCATTTTTTAACATAGTAAATAAAGTTTGATCTAACTGGTTGAATTTAGTCTTAATTTCCCACGTATTGATCCTTTTCCTCTCCGTCCTCCAGGTTCAGTGACAGGAGGGAACTGCAGGGAATTGGCGTCTCAGGGCGACGTGGACGGATTCCTGGTGGGCGGAGCTTCTCTGAAACCGGAGTTTGTCGACATCATCAACGCACGTGCCTAACGGAAACACGAACAACGGCTCCAGCAGGACCAATCAAAACCACTTTGCCCTTTAGATCATCATGTGTCACTGTGTGTCTGCAGCCGGGGCCGACTGATCCACAGACAGATGCTTCACAAAAACACTGATAGAATAAAGGAAATAGTAAAAGTTTTTTTCTCTTCTTTTATTCTTCATTTGTGGGAATTTTATTTGTCATATTAAACAGTAAAACTATTTTTTTCCTTTTTACCATTAAGGCTAACACTTAAAATACATCTAAATTTTAATATCTGTGTTGATTTTAAGGATTTAGTTTTTCCCATAGCAGATCAGAGAAGTGTTACTGTGTTGTTTCCTAATGTCAGTTTTGTGGTAAAATGACAGATATAGAGGATCAGTCAGTCCAGGTTGTTTTGTGTGTTTGCTAACATAAAGTGTGTCTCACCTAACTGCACTAACTGTTACTCCAGGGTCTGTAAAAAAAAAAGCTGTGGACAGAATGTAATTAAATATATAATGCAATGTGTATACAGAGACAATCTGTCTGCTGGTACTCGGTTTTGAAGAGTCAGGGACTTTTATTGTGAAGTCGTCACAACAGACACTAAAGATTTATGTGGTTTAACACTTAACATTGCTGCTGTATGTTTAACACTGATTAATGGGGGGGATCAGGATGTCTGAGCAATGGAGGAAGTAAACAAATAAAATGATAATGAGGAAAAACTAAAATTTAATTTTATCTTTCATTGACTCTTTGTATATATATGTGTATGTATGTATGACTGTATATATAGTATATATGTAAACTACCAGTGAACCCAAGTCTTAATGAGTTGTGAGCAAGTCATGCAATCCTATGTTTATATGTAAACTTAGAAGCAAACCAAGTGCAGCCATTGACCTTCAGCTTAAGTGTGATAGTTTTTATCAGTAGAAAAGTAAAAGGGGCCCATTGAAGTCAGGGGTTCTTAAAATGCTATTTGAATGCTATTCTTGCATTCATATGTTTATTTCAATTTACCAAACAAGAGATTGTCATACAGTTAGTTAGTGTTCAAATTGTTTGCTTTTCATAATAATGGTAGTATATCATATGAATAGAAAATGATAGAAGAAAGAGAGAGAAATGCACACAGCCTGTATTCAGAAACTGAGCCTTAAAACCAGCTGTAACTTTGTGATGTCACAACAAAGCTGCTATATTTTTATTGGATCACCCAGAAATCAGAAGAGAGGCTCAGATCCTCCTCTCTTCTGATTGGCTTACTGACCTGTTATTAATAGAGCTCCAGGAAGAAGCCTGAGAGAGGAGATAAATAATATATATATATTATATTATAACTAATAAAACTACACTGAGATGGTTTTTGGTTCTTAAAACCACAACTATATCTTCCTATGGATCAACACTTCAAATAAAACACAGGAAAAGTGTAAAATATAGGACTTTTAAGGAAATTTATCAGCATCTTTTCATCAGTCCCCGCAAAGTTTTAATGTCACACTCAACTCATAAGAACAAAAGACCACAGGTGTTTGATTATGAGGGAGTCAAATTCATTTTTACTGTTTTGTTGGTTTCCTCAGCAGTTGGAATTTTTTTTAATGACCACAGTTTAAAAAAAAGAAAGAAAATTTGGGTCTGTCAAAGGTTTTAGAGATGGAAATCACGGGTTCTGCAAAGGTGTCACTGGATTGTAGGAAAAGCTTCTGAGTAACAAACAGACACACAAAAAAGACAAACACCTTATTTGTGATTGAAATTGTAAATTACCATCTTTTTATTTCACATATTTTCACATTATTTTCAATGACAAGCGTTCTGTAAGTTTATTTTTTTTAAATTCTCTTTCTTCTTTTTCAACACAGCTATTCTATGGACATTCAGGAAGAACCGAAGGAACAAAGGGACTCGAGGTTTAGTGCTTTTTTTTTTTCTTTCTTTCTTTTTTTTTCTTGAGGACAGAGTTGGGACTTCGAGCATGAAGAACAAATAATCAGAATCACATCAGGGCGATAAAGAGAGTTTGAAACTGAGAAACAGACACGACGAGAAGAAAAAGGAGACAAAAAGAGAGAGATAGGGTAGAAGGTCAGAAGTGGGTGGAGTGCAGGTACGTCAGTGTCCAGGTGAGTGTGTGACACCACTGAGTGTGTGAGTGTTCAGGTGTTTGTGTAGTTTTTGTTGTTTTCTTCACTCAGTCCCTGAAACGTCTGTTTTGTGTTTCTTTCTGCAAATGCATTGTTGTTGTTTTTTTTGGTGTTGAAAGTTTTATTCATTTTTTATTTTTCATTTTTATCTCTTTCAGTTGCGTGCTTCAGTCTACATGATTCTATAATATTTCTACTTTTGTATCCCTCTGTTTTTACAACAATAATCTTTATTTTTGCAGGTCTGTGCTCTGACTGTACATGAACTATTCCTTTAAAACTACAGTAACAGTGCATGTCTGGCTTATAAATTTTAATATTTTTTATAATATTCCCCTGCATGTGTGTGAGCGTGTGTTGCATCTTCGTACTCTGTGCATGTGTGTGTGCATACAGCATCACTTCCCCTACCTATACGTCCAGTGCATATTTTATTCTTTTTTTTTTTTTTTCATGTGATCGTTCTTTGTAAATGGCTCGATCCCTGTTTGTCATGTGTCAGTTTTTATGTCTCCGCGTGCACGTGTGTTTGGGTGTGGGTGTGTGTTTGAGTCATTCGTCTATCTGTCAGTTTCACAGGGCGCTGGGGTTCCTGAAGTTATGGCCTGCAAAGCGAGCCTGGTCTCCTAACTCCTCCTCAATCCTGCAGAGAAGAACAGACAAAAAGAAAGAGTGGAGGGAGATTCTAAATATCGAAATCAAAAGTCGCTCTACAACAGAGAAAAGTTCCTCATTTTAAGCTCTTTAGTGACAGATGGTTGGAGATCTCTGAGAAAGTGACAAATCAAAACTTCCTGACTTCACCCTGTCCGTGGCTCTCAGCTCCAGCCTCACTGGTTACTACTGAAGATGTAAAATTTAAAAAAAAAAACAGTTCACAAGTACATAGTTTCATTTTTGAAAAAGTCTCAGTAATTTCTGGTTCAGCATCTGGTGACTAATTTTTGTTCCTCAAACTGCAGGAAATCAGGCATTTATTGGGGACTATTTTCAATGGAGGATGAATCCACATTTGTTGCTCTACTTAGTATACAGGGTAGCAGGACAGTGTGTGTAGGACTGAGTCAGAATCATCAACTGTATATAAAGATGGACGTACTCTCTGTGACGTTTCTGAAGAGCGGTTTTGAAGCTCAGAGTGAGCTGCTCCACCGTTGCCATCTTGGCAGCACCTGACTCCACCTAAGGAATCCCAGCTAATCCAAAAATGAGCAAAGAGGTGGGGCATGTGTGGAGCCAAGACTTTGTGCATGCCGGTTTATAGCAAACATACGCTCACCCACCTGTCACTCAAAGCAGCCATGCCCTCAATTATGCAAAACTCTAAGCATGATTAAAAATTTAAACTGGGGAATTCACCTCCCGTACAGTTGTCATGAAGGAGGAAATGAGTTACAAAGGCCAAAACTGTCTTTGAACCAGGCTGTAAACATGTTTATTTCTTCGTTGGACATTTGGGGATTGAGCCTCAAGTGGTCATTAGAAGAACTGCAGTTTTTGGCACTTCCATGTTGGCTGCATTTTTCAGCCCCGCAGGTTGCTGTCTGGTCAGAATGAACAGTGTGTGTGTTCATGGTGATGGAGGAACATGTCACTCAATGCAACAGTGAATATAATATATAATCTATTTTCATTGCACAAGGAAATTTGCGTGCACCTCCTGAGAACGTTTCACACATTCATCCATCAATACACACACCTGTCCATGCAGGTGAGCGACAGCAAAGCATCCAAAAAGCAGAATTAAAGAAGTTTTAAAAGATTAAATGATGTACCTAAATGACGTGCAATTGCATCTATGAGATGTATAAATGCAAAGTGTGCAGATGTTATTGCACATTCACGATTATGTGGCTCATTGATGTGTTTCTACTAGTTTCTGGACAACAATGGAGCTCTATGGCTCAGAGGAATAAGACATGTCAGGCTGTGAGACACACACAATACTTTTAGGAGACAGTCAGTGATGGTTTGGGTCTTTTCATTTAAGCAAAATGCAGAATATGACCCTTCCTCAGGAATCGAGAACAAGAATAAAGCTTTTGTTTTCAGTCTTTCTCTGTACATCTTTTTGTTTGCACCTGTTGGTATGGCACTGAATTTGAATTTAGCACCACATTTCCAATAATTGTGTTTACATATCTGTTACTGTATAACAACTTCCTACAGTATAAATAGCTAATTTCCTTCTGGTGCGTGTGTGCACGCGTGTGTGTGTGCACATGCTTGACTGCAGAGATTAGCGTTTATCGTTGGTTAATGCTCCGTAAATCTCTCCACCCTCCACCTCTCCTGCGTCTTCTCAGCAGTCCGATGGGATTACAGCAGTTGAGCTGATCCCACCTCCTCCTCCTCCTCCTCCTCCTACTCCTCCTCCTCCTCCACCTCCACCTCCCCCTGCTGCTGACTGGCTCTTACGCATGGGGTGACACCAGCGCCGTTGTCGCCTGTCACGTCAATTAGCTCTCTGATGCTAAGCGCTAAGACAGGGCGGGCACCTGAGGAGCGTAGTTATAGCTCGGCTACTGCCGGATTGGGAGCCAGAAGAGGATCCAAGCAGTGATGAATGGCAAACAAAGTGAGAGTTAAATATTAAATCAGGCGGGATGGAGTACGCACTGTAACTTTAAAGCAATGCTAAAGATGTGATTTAATAATAGATCCAAAAGACTCCAATAGGAGTTACTATATGTAGGTTTGACAAGTTTTATCAAGTCTTGATCCTGGAAAGACAAAGTTTTTCTCTATTGTAAGTATTATTGTGACCTTCCACCTGGTGCATCGTCAAGGCAACTGGTTGCACCTGACAGATGGGAGTGGCCACGTGTATATAAGCCCTGCTGCCCCTGGGTTTTTCCAGACAACATCATCGTCCTGTAGCTTGTTGGTTCCCCTCTCATTGTATTTTCTTTGCTCAATAAGTTTAATTAGCAACAGTTAGCATGAAGTAATTAACATGTA